ATTTACTCTGCCACTGCACAATAATCCCGTCATTATGGAAACATTTACCCACTGAGTCATCCAACCGAGGAACTACTTTTCTGCAACTGTGATGCGGAGTCGCAGCATTTCAGCACCTACACGGAGCCATGCAGTGTTTGCATGTGTGCGTCAGTGCATGTGGGCAGGCAGGGTACGCTTGTCCGGGATTATTATTAGCACAGAGTACTGCCCCCCCCAAAAAACAAACCATCAAAATAAACAAAAGAACTGATTAAATGAGTTGTAAAAACATTTTTTAAAAAGTTTGTGAGCTGGATTTAGAGGCATTGTTAACTCCTGTGGCAGGTTCTGCTGCTGCTCACCTGCCTTTATTAACTAATGTAACTAATGTGTATAATACATTTTGCTAGAATAACTTTTGCATGAGCTTCTGTTTATGTAACACTTAAGACTTTTAAGTCAGACATGGGAGATGCATGTGAAGAGCAAAGCTGGACAGAGACACACGGCTGGTTTATTACCCGTAGTAAGCGGCTGGTTGTTGCAGATGGAGACCTCATCGGGCAACTTGTCCATCCTCCTCTGAATGGGAGGCACTGGTGGTAAGAGAACCATTGCTGGGACGAGAGGTGGGAAGTCAGCCTCCAGTTCATAATCTTCCCGCTGCTTTGGAACTTCTGGCTTTACCCAAGGGATAGTTGTGTTGTCACAAAGCTGTAATGGGATGTACTTTATTTTTATTTTCCCACGTTTCCCCTGAATGACAGCAAAAAAAACAGAAAACAGTGGTATTGTTTAATTAAGAGGTTTTGAATAGAATATAACTGATTGGATTAAATTATTGCTTGGAAAGCAGTGCGTAAATTGACTTCAGCAAACACAACTTTAGCCACCAAAGTCACTGTGCTTACCTCTTTTCTTTTCTTCTCTGTCTCTCCCTGATTTGGTTTAATCTCTGGCTCCATCACAGGGCTCAGTACCCGCGCAGGCTCGGCAACGTGTGGATGTCTGCAGTCCAAGAGATAAGGGCGAGGAGGGGTGAACTCTGTTTGGTGTTTCGGACCCAAATCATCAGTCACCTTCTGCTGCTCCTCAGCCCTGCAGACACGGAGAGAGACAGACATGAGATGGTGTAGCTGTTTCAAGCACATCTCCATCACAAGGTTAACATCCTCATGCTATCATTTTTCAACCTATTTCAATAAGAAAAATCTAATGTGTTAGTGAATTTCATGAGTGAGGACATGTTTTTTGGGAGTGGTTTGAAGCAGCTGACATTTAAGACTCCTATCGCTGTGATGAGTGTGTAGTATAAAGACAGGATCATTTGTAATATGAATATGTCCCCATGTTTTACCTTGATGGAAGATATACTCCACCGGGTGCCATTCTAGTTCATAGTATCCTATTATAAGAGTATTTCACATCCTTCTAAACGAACTGGTTAACCAATAAGCCTAGAGGTCAATTAGTTAAAAGAGTATGCTGTCATTTTACTGCCAAATTTGACTGGACTCAGTGCTGAGCTTAACATTTTGAAAAGAGGATTTATCACTGGGTCCATGGCTCGCCGTGCTGTACATGTGGTGCAGCACCCACTTCAAACCATGACTCTTTAATGAGGCTATTCTTTAGTAACCAGCCTGTCGACTGTCGAACCGTGATGCGTGACACCCGGTCCGGTGAGGCCCGGGACACTTATGATAACAGAGATGTCATGGACGCTCCTGGTGGCAGCTGAGCAGATGGTGTACATTAACATTAGTGGGTCAATGACTGCACTGCAGCCCACCTGATCTACACTGCAATGATGGCATCCAGGTTAGAAACAGGCCTAACTTCTCCCACATACTCTCCCCTATTCATCCATTGATTCACAATAAAATCACACTGTAGGCCTGCTTGTGTAGACAATACATTTTAAATTCACACTTTAGGATGACCCCCCCTCCTGATGGACTGCTAACCAGTTATAATAAAAACCCATTAGCCAATATAGATTAGTTATCTTATAGTCCCACTTGTAATTACAGACATTATGGATAATTAGAAAGTGAGGAACCGTTATCAATGGATTGCCATCATTTTAACTGCTTTACTAAACCAAACACACAAGTATAAACACCACCTTTTCTTATGAATCGCTCAGAACTGACATTTAAAAAATGCATAGTAAACAATATATTTATGTTATTAATGAATTTACTTTAACATTCATTTAGCGTTAATAAATCCATGATTACATAAGCTGCACTTGTCTTGGAGAGGATGATGAGAAGGTTATACTGAGAATGAACTAAATTGATGAATAAACCTACACAGGTGAATGAGACTAATGTAAAAAAGACAAGTTCACTATACACATGTTACATAAACTCATTTTGCAGTGAATGAATAATTACAAGGTGATTAATACGGGTCTTCATTAAGGTGCACTACAGCTTTTGTGTTTTTCATTGTGTATAATGGGGCTGCCAGACTGTCTGTGTGCCTGATTCTGTCTTACCGGTGACTCTGCATGCTTTCCGGTGGTGCAGGGTCTTCGAACTGCAGTGTCTCCGGGGGTCTCTGACCTCCGGCGCAGTCCTCCTCCGTTGCCCTGCTACAGATGGTTTTGCAGACACAATCATAGTCATCGTAGGGAGCATGTGGATGAATCCAGATGGAGCGTGGAAAGGGCGCATGTGCATCCAAGAAATGTACTGGAGTAGTTGTCTTGCTATCAACTGGTGGTAACACAGATTTTTTCATTTTCCTCAGTGATGTTCATAAACACGTGTGGTCAGTCTTCTTGCCACAAGCAACTGTTTGTTTTAACCCCATTATTTGAAAAAACTAGTATCCTGACAGGTTCTCATGGCAACCGTTTGAAATGCTAAGAATGCTAAGTCAGCTGTTTATAGGTCATGATCTCTATGATGATTCCTTCTGTTATTATTTAAATATTTACATCTAATGCACAGTGTATGAGTGACTGTTGCTAATATAGGTCTGATCATATTGCATGGAGATGGGATGGACTGTTGCCTACATGCACATAAATCCAAATAATAGGCCATATAGTATTAGATTTTGAGTATACAGAAAATCTGATTCTTTAACCCGTAAACATGCAGCATCGGGTTAGTCCTGGAAGAAGGACCCTGGCTCTGCCCTGTGGTTTCATGTAATGTTGCATGGAAGACTCTTTATGATCTCCATCTTCCTGCATGTAAGGGTCAGGGGGGAGCACACATTTCATTATCCCGACTGTTTCCACGTACGGTGCATTGCGTAAAACTAATTATACCGGTCATATGCAGAAGTGGAGATGACATTCAGATTTACGGGCGAGGGGTTCCAGCCTGTTAAGCATCAATTTCACGTGTAGTGAGCAGGAAGTGGACGTCTGTGTTAAAGTGCTGGGCAGCCCCATGATTGGTCCAAATGGATGGACACAAATGGCCCAAATCTTACCACAACAAATGGTTGAATTAAATTAAAACCCATCTCACCATTCATTATAATTGTTATTCTTATTAGCCTATCATTACCATTATCCTTAATATTTTTACTGTTATTATTATTGCTGGTGATTTAATAGAGAAAGGACAGTTTATTTAGCTTGATGGGGCGGGTTTTGACCTTTCAACTCCCACACTGTTCATCTTAATCACTTGTGAGTGGTGTAAGTTTGCTATTTACCACAACACTTTATAAAATGTGGGCATATGATGTGACTGGAGGGAGAGGGAGGGAGGGAGGAATAGAGCGAGTGGGTGAGATAGAGAGAGAGGGAGAGAGAGAGAGGGAGCGGGGCTGCAGTCTGAATCTTGGCGTCGCGCAGACCCGAGACGACGCGGTGGCGAGGCGCAGTGATACCGGGAATACACGCAGTAGCGCATCGTTCCCTCCGCACAATAAGATCACTGACCGCGCACCCAGCGTCGGTGGAGAACTTCTGAAAGAAGGTTATTTTAATCTCGGATCCGGATAAACCTTCCTGCTGCCTCTGTGCGTCTCCTTCGTTCCTCCGAATCTCCAAACGTGGATTATCGGCACCACAGATGCTGCTCTTACTAAGTGGAGATACATTAAGGAGAAGGACATAGAAGCTGTGGGTTAACTGGAAGGAGGGATCTCCTGGTTGCTCTCTGGTTCTATCAGTTGCATATGTGGAGCGAACGAGGGATTTTCGTGTTTTTTTTCTCTCCTCTTTACGCATGTGAGGTAGCTCAGTGACCACTTGAATCACGTCTCCCCCGTTTTGGTCGCCCTCCCTCCTTTCTCCCCATCCTCTCCTTTAGGTGTGAAATCTATCTTCTTCAGACACAGACTCTGAACCCCTCGGTCCCCGCATGACATGGTTCAGTCCAGCTGCGAGATCCGAGCCTCCTCCATGCATTGGGATTTTTCTCAGCGCCGACACCGAGTGAATCTCCCCTTTCTGACCATCTGAGAAACTACCGTGCGCCCCTGCCACAACAGAGAGGAGAACCAGAAGCCCCTGCCATGACCGCCGCTTCAAATCGGGACAGAGCAGCGGGACTTGCGAGGAGAGCGGAATGCGCATGCAGGAGAGGGGACGGAATACGGATTTTTGCTCTGATGAAGGCGGGAGTGCAGGCGCACCGCTGGAGCCGGCTGCTGTTCTTATACATGGGGCTACTGGCCGCCTCGGTGAAGGGTAAGTCCCCGCGTCTGTGCAGCTTGAGGAGATGCAAAATGCAGCAGGTTTGCCCCCACGCTCCTGCGCCCACCCTCCCCGATCCCTGACTGAATGCAAATAAGCTTCAGCAACACACAACCACACACACACATCCATCATATACAGGCGTATTTTGGATCAGCCTCTCCTCGATGTCCAACGCACCCAAAGTTGTTAATAGAGAAAGAGGTGTTTATTTTGGGGGACCGGGCTTTCTGTCTATATATCCCCGACTTGGGTCAGGCGTGTCATTACAGCACCGCGCGTTAAAGGCGGTTGTGTGGAGCAGAACCGGGTTAAACGAGCTGCTGTGAATGTGTGGATGTTGCCTCCGAAACGCAGGTGAGACGTTATACAGCGCAGCAGCCTGTCCTGCTCTGCTCCCCCTGAGGTGCAGGGGCAGGCGGTGGATGATGCTGTTCAGTCCAAGTGTGTGTGAGCGTGCGTGTGAGACTGTGCGTGTCAGTGACAGAATGTGAGTTCTGCATTTCACCATAAAATAAGACTCCTCTTTATATTCCCCACTTTCCCTAAACACCTTGGAATAAAAGTGTGTATTTTGTCCCCCTCTTTTTCAAAGTGTGTGTGTGTGTGTGAGAGAGAGAGAGATACCTAATTAACTGACTCTTGGCTTTCTGTCCTTGATTAATTGCAAATGGAAATCTCAGGCAACATTCAACAGATTATCACGACAATGTACTTCTAATCCTGACGTGTTGCTAAAAGATGACTCTTAAGTTACTGCTCCATGATTTGTTCTGTCTTTTTTGTTGTCTATAAACTCAGTTTCATCACTCATGTGTGTCGTGATTTAGAGCCCGTGGCTTTTCAGGGGGGAAGCGCCGCAATGGTTTTTGTCATCCTGCACAGGTCCTTTGGCACAGAGAGCCAACCGTTCTATCATTGTCTTGGCTCCACACCCGCGGAATGGGAACTATTTTTAGCAAAAGCCAAGAATACTGCCACGACCACAGTGTGGATTTGACAGCGAGGCATTGCTCTGTTCGCCCACTCGCACCTTTTTGGTTGGAGAACACAGTCCGAGAGCGAGTGAGTGGGGGGGACAGGCACGTTTTTATCAGCACAGTGGGCCGTATACTCAGCTCATCGCTCCTGCGTGTGCGTGGATTCAAGCTGGTGCCTTACTCTTCAAACTTGCGTCGTCAACCACCCACACGGTTTTTGGGTGAGATGTGGGTTTATCACACACTCAGCTCTGTCCACATGAAACCAACTCTCTTGACTTTCACTCTTGTGGAGTAAATCTCACTGCGGCTGTGGCCGTGGGAGGCTGCTTGCTTTATTTGCGCTTAGGGAGCTTTTTTAAAAAAAAATCATTTTTATCGCTGCGCACTCTCCTGGCGCCTGAGCCTAATTTTGGAGCCGACTCTAATTCATCTGCTGAGAGCAATGTCCGGATGACTCTCCTATAGTAACTGCGTTTACTTTAAACGGTGCCAATGAATATGTTGAGTGTATCACACACCGTGGCACTGAGGTGGTCCGGCGCGTCCCTCGCTGCTGCCACCAGCAGTTGCCCCATCCTCCCATTGAGCGGCACCAGAGCCTCACGCTATGCTGAGAGGCGGAGCGGGGAGGGAAGAGGAGACGGTGGGTTTCATGGCATGTCTCCACTTCCACGCTCCAAAGCGAGGCCGGACAATGAATTGACCAGCTATGGTTGATACATGTTGCGCCTTTGCCTGAAACGAAGCCCTCCTTCCCTGGCTGCGTTTGAGACGCATCACACGAGGCCCGCGCGCCTTTTTCATTGCACCGTCGTCATTTGTCAACCAGTCTCACTTTAAACGATTCTCTAGACTCCCCCGTCACCTTATTATCGTTCCCAAGGGCCACGCAGACAATGATAGAGATGTGTGAGAGGCTTGTAAAAGGGAGATCTGAGGAAAGCAGCGCGCAGTCTCCATGGGATCAAACCCAGCTGTCCCAGTGGAGTCGTCTCTCAATAAGCGTTAATCAACCTCTATTCTATTAAACGTACAGAGGAGAGCATGCAAAAGGCCTGGGGGAGGAAAAGGTGGGGAAGGAAAGGTCGAGCAAGAGGGGATGGCGAGTCTTTCCTCCGTGCGCGTTTCGGCTAGACTGCATTAGATCATTCGTTAGCGGCGCATGAGACAGTCGCTCAGCGTGTCCGTTCACAGGCACGATCACGCTTCGTGCATGATCCTGTCCCCTCGGCCACGCTCTTCTTTATGTAGAGGCACCGTGTTGTGCTCATGATGAAACTTGCAGAAATGTTATGAGGACTGGAGGGCACGATGTCGCGTTTCTTTTTATCTCTGTAATTTTTTTATTTTTTTTTACTTCATGACATTCGCTTGTGTTCCTGCAGTCGTGAGGCTTCTGGGGGAAGAGATGGAAAGAGGGTGTGTGTTTGTGTGTGTCTTTGTGTGTGTGTGTGTGCGCGCAGGCGTCTGTGCGTTTCTAGTCAATGACGCAGCGAGAAAAACCTCGGCAAATCAATTATTTGGAATTTCATAAATAAAAAAAACCCCAGTTCTTACTAGTGGAAAATGAATGATCTCGTGTGTTTGTGTAGGAATAGAAGAAGAGGTTCTAGTGAAACTCTACAAACACTGTGTGGTGACACCTTCAGCAACCTGGACAGCGACAGGCGCTGCTGAGTTTGCCAATGTTCAGCACCACGGACAGCTCCCGCAGCCAACAGCCTCGGTAGCAGCTGCTCATCGGCCTCATTTAAACCTTCACAGGCAGATTCACATCTTCACATCATGACGTGTCTGCTTGTTTCAACAAAGAATGATAGAGTAAAAAAATGCCAAAGAGGCTGTTACATACAGCTCCAGCCTCTCGAATGCGAAGATTCGCTGCTTTCCATTCATCCATTGTCTCGTCTTTGAAAAACACAAGGAATCTGTAGGTGTCAAGTGGCTCTGGAGGAAAGCAGTTCAGTCGTTTATTTTCTCAGGTGGGAAATTTAACTTTCAGTGAGGTGCAAAAGACAACTAATAACATACTTGAATTCAAAAGTACAGATTGAATTGCTCAAAGATCATCATCACAGGGCCCTGCCCAGATAGCA